ACCAAAGGGGGGGGGGCAGAGCCTGTTGGCTCGTTCTTCCCCCCTTTCACGCTGTTTCTGCCAAGCCAGGCTATTATTGACTAACATTTTGCGTGATTAGCTTTATTAAAAATAGAGTTCTTTGATTTATTAAAATTAGTCCTTTTCTTCATTCTTCTCTTGAGCTGGAAAGAAAGCAGTTTAGGGCAAATGCATGAGACCTTGAGGTCATATCTCATGTAGACGAGTTATGTGTCAGTGGAGAGGGGGCAAATGACTTTTGGTGGAAAACAGTCCTTTCATTCCGTTACAGTGTACAACAGGGTGCTACAAGATAACAGACAATGAATGAAATGATGGGATGTAAGCTAGATGTTTGTAGCAAAACCTTATTAAGTATCTGAGAGATCTTGTGATGTCTGGGTTGTAAAATCTGTTTGACTGTATAGTTTATCAAGCTATAGATTATTTGTTAAGCCATCAGACACAATTGTGCAAGTCTACAATAACCTTGTGTGACGGTCGCTCTCGGAGGTCAGAAGAGGCAGCAAGGGTGGTGAGTTCACCGGACACAATGGCTCCTAGGATCTCAAAGAGTCGCAGCTCCCTTTGAGTTCAGGTATCACCGGCCATGAGATGCTACCAGGGTCTGCTGGTTACACGTTCCTCGTCTGAGGTGCTGTAGCATCTGAAACCACTCGCAAGCGTTGCAGAGCGGCTTTTGAGTTTGAATCAAATGAGAGGATGGTTCCAAATGCTTGCTCACCCGGTCCACTGAACCAGGAGGCAGCAGAGAACTGACAAGATCAGGAAGTGATCTCTATTTTTATTAACTGTTGTTGACAAATTTAGACAAATCAGAATTTGTCAAGTTTAAAAAGCGTTAACAAGTACCTCAGAAAATCCCTCCTTCCCTCAGATACTTAGAGAGGTTATTCCTTAGTGTGAGGTAAAAATGTTATAACAGTTATGTGGAGCAAAAATGTTAAACATTAGTAATAATATTATGAGGTGTGAATATACTGATTATTCAAAGATGATAGACAAAAGTCCTGCATCTTGCAGCCTTGAGGACTCATGACGTACGCAGGATTAGTTAAGAATATTGGCTCAAGTTCATTCCTTCATATCGGCACCACGGTGTCAGACTGACCTGTACAGTGAGCTTGATGATGTAAACAGTCCTAAGAGCTGCTGACCACACACAATGTCAGGTCTTAGGCCTAGTCCACACGTAGCCGTTTTTTTAAACGAATACCCGCCCCTCCAAAAACTTGCATCCACACCACCTCGTTTAAAAAGAAAACTCTGTCCACACGTACCCGGATAAATACGTTGTTAAGGACATGCCAGACCTGTAGGCGGCAGTACTTCCCCCGTTCTTAACCTCGTCCTTCGTCTGTGGTCTTCCGCAAGGAGCAGTAATTCCGCTTGCAAAAACAAACAAGCAAAAAGCGCTTGGACAATTGATAAAGCGAGCGCAGCTCTGAGGGCATCCATGCTGTCGGCTAGTGTAAACACAGGTCGCACACGTGATGTCAGCGTGTTTTTGTCGCGGAAAGTGACGTTGCGGACCTTAAAACTCCGGTTTTGTCCGTCCACACGCAGACACCCAAAACGGAGAAAACGCAGATCTTCACTTTGGCCGGAGTTTTTAAAAAGATCCGTTTTCGTGTGGATGACAGGCCAAAACGTAGAAAAATATCTACGTTTTGGCAGATCCCCGGCTACGTGTGGACAGGGCCTTAGGCTGGTGGTTGCAATCCCAGGTGGAAAGCAAAGTCTTTGGCCCAGGTCTACCAGCTGTTTCCAATCCCACATCACCATTCAGCTGCCCAGAGCCCCTACCTAGTAACAGACACTGGGTGTATGTTACGTGCCGTGCCCCTTTTCGGCCACAAGATGGCCTCAGTGGCCTTTGCCTCGCCCCGTCTCCCGGTCCCCAGCTGTGGTCAATTACAGAAATCACTTGGCAGCTGTTAAAAGCTGCTTCCAGCCACCAGTTCAGGGAGAAGGTCAAGGATAGTGCAGACTGGGAACAGTTTGGGCTATTCTCTTCTCCTCGGTTCGCTCTTTGGAATTTGGCAGATAACTCGTTAGTATTTGGATTTGGCGGTGGATTGTTTGGACAATTTGACCTCGGAACGGCTTTTGACTTTGACTTTAGGATCTCCCCTTTTGAATCTATATTTATTATTATTCTCGGTTTTCTTCCCACCCCCTTCCGGGGTGGCGCTTTACGTTATCTCCTTTTTGAATACTGCTCCTTTGGCTTTGTTTATAGTATTGGTTTTAGATTCTTTGTAAATGTCCAGCGTTTTGTAATAAAATCCTTTGTTTTTAAGTGACACAACACGTTGTTTATTATTTAACCCTCACATTAATTTTATTACTCCCCTCCTCATCTCTCCTAGAGAGCCGGGGACGTAATAGTGTAATACTCTCTCGTATGAATACTGCTGGCGGTCGCTGAGTTGGGATGTGCGCTTTTGCTTTTTCAGCACTCCTACAAAACACTAACACTTGTTCCCTTAGGTGTAACAGCCCTGAGAGAGGGTGGCTTGGTATCCTACCAGGTCATGCTTTAGCGTTGCTGGTAACAAGCAAACTGAGCATGTGGGATAGTTAAGTTAAAGTCCCATTAGTCATCACACACTGGTGAAATTAATCTCCGCATTTAACCCATCTCCATGGGGGGTGGTGAGCTGGAGCTGTGACCACACTCTGAACTATTTGGTGGTCCCACCCCCCCCACCCCCCCCCCCCCCAAAATCCAACCCCTTACAGCTGAGTGTCAAGCATTGGGTCCCATTTTTAAAGTCTTTGGACCGGACCAGGATTTTAACACAGATCTCTCAGTCCCAGGGTGGACACCCTACCACTAGGCCACTGAGAAGGATCTTCCATACCACTGGTTAAGATTTTGGGGGGTTGATAGGATATTATGGAACAAACACTCTAATAGTGAAGCTCACTTTAATGCCTCTATCTCCCACATGTCCTTCCAAGAGATCTTCTTCTTCTCCACTCCATCCCATCTTAGCCACTGACCTTCCTTCGCCAGTGCAACTGCCTTTGTCTTCCTTGCTTCTTTTTCATGTTCATGCATTCCCTGCACCTCAAGCCTATGTCTCTAAGGTTGCGTGGCCATACTCTATGATATAGTTCCAGTCTCAAGACTAAAACCTGCCTGTCCTTGCTGGACCTGGCCCACAATGTCCTTGCACATTAGTGATGCCTTGGTTGCTTCAGCCGGTGACCATTTCGTCCCAGTAGCTAGTCTCAGCGCAGCATGGGCCACTACATTGTGAGCTAACTTAACTTTGCAGCCCTGAGATGATGGAGGTTTGTGATTACACAGACTTTGTTCCAATTGTCAAGTCTTTAAGTTGTTTTAAGTTTCATATTTCTTTAAATTATGTATAATATGTGCTTTACACATCACACAAAGAAAACCTTTCTTACAGTGTTTCAAGATAAAAATCACAACAAAAGAGAATACATTATTTTGATTGAGTGCTTTAGTCATATAACAGTGAATGCTTACCAGAGGGTATTTAACATCTGAGTCTGTTCAAACACCAGAGGGTGCCACTTCTCCTGCTCCAACAAGGAGATAGGCCTTCCTATGTTTCATGTGAAACAAACCATAGACAGCATATACAGTATATTGACAATGTCTATCAACCAAACAGACCCTTTTAGTCACCCCCCTTCAATTCCCATATTTCCCCTGGACCAGTTTTTTCTCTTTTGAGCCTGGTAGACACATTCTGGATTAATTATCTATCTTCTAGACCACTGACCTTCCTCCTCTATCCACCACCTCCTCGAAGCAAGGGCGTCTCCAGAAAATTTTGATAAGGGTGGCCAGATGGGGCCAAAGAAATTTTTGGGGTGGCACACAAAATAGATCCTTGTGGTAACTCTGGGAGACTTTAGCCTGTAGCGATGTATTAATTGCTTCTTTATTTGTTTTTATTAAAACAAATAATAATAATAAAGCAAATTATTATGTATCCAAAACATTTAAATTAAATATTGCAATTACAAACATTTCAGAAAAATACATATCAGTCATTTAAATATTTTTTTCAAATTTAATTTTAAAATGTATTTGTTAGTATAATTTACCTATTGCTGTGTTCACAAAAAACTACAGAGATAAAAACGTTTTTAAAATGAGCAGCAGAAACATATGTATTTTTTTAAATTCTGATTATTACATTCTGGGGGTGGTCATGACCACCCCTTGGGGCGCCACTGCCTCGAGCTGACCATAGGTGTCCAGAAGGGAAAATATGATTGTTTCAGACAAATAATGAACTACCACTCAGTTATTTGCTGCTATTTTACTTATCTGGATGACTGTCAGTTTAACTTTATTTTAATAATTCACCTGGCTTATAATTAGGATGTAGTGTTCGGTCTTTAATGTATCCTTTCCAAACACTTTCTGATAATAATAATAAAAGTAACAATTGAGGTCGTATTTTCATGTGTTACTCTTTTAAAACGTGTTATTGTATGTAACATCTTCAGATCTAAAGAGGCCAGAGGACATTCCGCTGAAATCTTCCACTTCTAACTCGCCAAACAAAAACAAACGCACAAATACGTCACATCTCCCAAAGGTAGTTGGAACGTCACTGCAGTAGCGTTCATGATAATCGGAAAATTTTTAATTTGGGTTGAAATACGCAAAAATAGAAAAAAAAATAAAACATAAAAAGAGAACACTGACCGTAGTTTTTCAGACAGCAGAAAGAAGACTGTTTCATTGGAAAATGCCAGTCGTTAGAATTAAAATGTTTTATCATCAGTAACAAAAATAAAAACGGTTAAACACGCGATTTTTCTACAGCAAGACACTAGCCATGAAAGCCGTTTGAATTCAGAACGTGACGCATGTGAGATCACTTTTACAGTAAAAAAAAAATTGCCTTAAAATTCAAGACTGACAGTCTTTGAGATGCTCGGTTGTTTATAATATTTCCCACTGTCTGTGAAGGCGTCATGGACAAGGCAGTGGAGGGTTAAAGTGAGAGAGCCTACATTGTTATCCCGCTGCTGGACGTCACTAAACCTACTGTTAACGCTTCATGAACGCATTATGTTTTTGTTAAGATGTGACTCCAGCAGCACATCTCTGTGATGACTGAAAGAGAGCACATGTAACGTGCGGTTAGCTTGGGTGACGTGAAGACACAAGGGCATCGTTCTTAATCTTCGGATGAGAGTTTGTGTGTTGCGTCTGTGGAGCGGCACGGCGGAAGAACAAGTCCAGCCAGCTTCGGGTAGCTTCACGGCAGCGGAGGCGACAAACACCCAGCTAACAAGATGAAATTCACAGAACACCTATCGGCTCACATCACACCTGAGTGGAGAAAACAGTACATCCAGTATGAGGTAATTTTTTTTAGCTTGTGTTTAGCTAGCAGACTGGCTAATTGGACAACCATCGATGTGTGTCCCGTCTCGTGTCCGTTAATTAATTTCAGAACCTTCTGCTAGACGCAGCTGACCCTGTTTGTAGTTATGGCATCATGAAACTAAGAAAGGAGGAAGTGTTTTTGATGATGTGCCCAGAAAGGACCAACCCGGTGTTAGCTAGCACACTGATGGCTAGGTTTGTTTTATAATTCCACGGCTTCATCGAGCCGATCTGGCGCAGAACCGTGTGTGTCTGATTGGACCGTGTTCAGCCATTATTGAATCAGATGTATCAGTGAGCCCGTTGACCTCTGTCAGCCCTCAAACAGCTGAGGCAGCTGTCAAACAGACAGAGGTGCTGATAGCTCAATCTCTCCTCGACCTTTGACCCAATAGGGAGGCTGATCTGTTGTCTTTATCAGGCCCTAACATGCACGCAGAACGGATAGTGTGACAGTTTTATGGGAAGCCTGCTTTTTCCCACCGTTTACTGCATTCTGCACATACTGTAACAGTGGCTAGAGATTGCAGATGTTTTCCGTTTGCACAACAAAGGTGACAGATCATCTGCTGCTGTGGCCCTCAGACTCTGGAACTCTCTCCTCCTGAGCCTGAGATCAGTGGACTCAGTGGTCTCCTTTAAAAAGCAACTGAAAACTCACCTGTTCAAGCTGGTGTTTTTTGTGACCTTTGTCATCACCCTTTCCTTATTCCGCCTTTACCGGGATCCACGGATTTTCCTTTATTCATTTTCTCTCTCCCTTTCCTTACATTTTTTGATCACAATTTTTATTTCTGTCATTTAGAACATATTTTTAATCCTTTTTTAAAATATTTTAATGATTTTTGTGAAGCACCTTGTGATTTTTATCTCGATAGGTGCTATATAAAATATTGTTTTCTTTTTTTTACAAAAATCCTGTAGCGATGCTAGAAATCACAGCTTTTAGTCTGTCCAGTATGTTTTATCACATTAAGATTGAACTTCTTTTTTTACTAAGTCTGTTTATAAAATTAAAGCTAGCCTATATTTTAATAAATTTAAACTTAGATTCTAAAGATCAGTCTTGATTGAAAGCAAGAATTAAATATTTGCATTACTTTCATGCAAGTGTTTATGACCCATCAGCTGAGAAGTTCAGGTGGGTCAAGTTTGAACAGGTGAGATTAATATCAACACCATCTGACCAGGTCTCTCATGGGAGGAAACCCTCTGTTGTTCTCTTTTATCCATTTAAATAAATGGTACGAAACATTACATCAACAATCAACCCAACAGTACTCCAGTCAGTGTGCAGGTTACCTGCAGCAGGTAAAGTAGCTTCAGTTTAGTAATCATAATCATTGCATCACACTAGATTGTGTATAAAGGTGTGTCATTAATACTTATTTTTAATGGATAAAGCCTAATTGTAAAAACAGTTTTTGAGCATCAGCAGTGTCTGGCTTACATTAACGTCTGTAAACGGTAAGTGGCCTGCTTACACCTAATAAGCTTCTGACTTATTATTTTGTACATGTGACACACAGCATAACAGCACTAAAGCAGCATACCACTGTGCTGCTTTTACTTGCTTCAAAAGTTATTTTGAAATCGACCAAAATGAGCTTATTCACCTTTACAATGTTTAGTAATACCAGCTGATCACCAAGACTGTTGCTGCCTCACATGTTTTACTCAACCCAAACACATCTTGTGCTATAGTCTTGGAGCATTGTCCTGCTCCAGGTTAATTCAAACTCTCCTCACTTCCCGTCATTCTTGCTATTCACCCCGGCTTTCCACAGGAGCCGTCAGCAGCACGTTACTGCAGCAGCACGTCATAGCTGCTGATAGGAACCGCTGTGGTCAACAGAACCTTTTCCACTGGAGCCGTCAGCAGCGCGAGTCGGCCGCGTCTCAGGAGCAGCATGTCGCGGCCTTTACGCGCCGGTTCTATTTTCTACGCGCGACGCCTCTGAAACGGGTCAAGTTCGACATTTTTGGGGAAGGAAAGACAGGAAATCCGACGCGGAAATGGAGAGAAGCTCTCGAGATTTTCAGAATAAAGAACGTACTGCCTTCCGGTTGCTTTACTTTTAAAAAACGTTACGAACTGTGCGGCCCCGTGAGAAGTTATCACCTAGCTAGCGGTCTCCTTTGTTTTTCAGGTCCGTATTGGCGATTATAAAACGGACAGAACATAAAACACAAACCATGTTGTAGTTTTCTCCTGCTTGTTGTTTTGTTTACTGACGAAGTCACTCGTGTGACTTCGTGCTCTGTCGGTGACAGCTGCTCCCCTGCTGCTTCGCATCTCGTGGGAAGGGCCAAGCAGCAGCTTACGCGAGCAAGACGTGCTGCTGCAGTAACGTGCTGCTGACGGCTCCCGTGGAAACCCGGGGTCAGACTTTGCACTGCACTCTGCACATGTATGAAATCCCAAATTAAAAGAAAAAAAACGCTATGGGTGTATTACAACTTTGTGTTTTAAACACAACACAATGACATATACTACCTAGCCCAGCTGTGTTTTTATTATTGCTGTACAGGCGACAAGAAATCCCCCTCTGGCCATGGGTGGCAACATTATGGACTTTTAATACCCTTAACACCGCCCAGGGGACATGACTACTATCAACCACATTGCAGTCATGTGACCCAGAGTGTTAACAGGTTAAAGAGCAAGTTCACAGAGAAGCCATGTTTTTTACTTATTTTTTAAATGCAACCAGTCACGTAGAGTTTCACACGATGGCTTAAAGACACACTCCTGAACTTTGCAGATATATGCTCTCTGTCGCCCTCTCAAGGCTTGCTGCATAACGCCCACTGTCGTAAAATCAAATCTCTGTCGCACATAAGAGGCTTGTTTACTGGCTGTTGTCCACTTGCCTGCCCAAAATAAACACAATAAGTGGCGTTTCGGCATTGAATAAAGTTTTATCAGGACTGTATAACAACTTTATGCCCAACCAAACACAACAACCCCGGTGAAATAATTTATTACTTCCCTATCCATTAGCAGCACTGCTAGGTCAGAGTCCGTAGTACATGCTGTTCTTTCAAGAAGAGCTCTCCAGCGAGGCAAAGCCGGCCCAATATTAACTCAGGTCTTTGTTCTTGCTCTATCGCGTTCTTTTTTTCTTTTCCTAGATTCCTCTGATAAAGGATTTCTAGCTTTCTTTGGCGGATCTGCCATTGCTCAAGTCTCTAAACCATGGGTCTACCACAGACACATATATACGTAGACGCCCCGTGGACTGGCACTGCCTACTGGGGCTGCAGTAGTGGCTAGCCGCCATTTTAGCTGGGTCTCCGTTCGCCCCCAGTGCATTCTATTTTACTAAAGAAGGTGCACACCCAACAAAAAAAAAAAAACACATTTTATTAAGCTTTTTCACAAAATCAGACACAAGGTATGTCATGATAATATAAATATAATTAAACAAAATAAATTTAAGTATAAAATCCTATCAGGTAGGCTAGAAAAGTCACTAGTAATCCCACGTGATCTGTTTTCAATAGTATGCCAGTTTTTGTAACTGTAGGCTGCACAAAATAGTTGCTCACTCTGCATTGACTTTGGAGAATGAGGAGACCCATCCAATATGGCGGCGACGCTGTTACGCTCTCTATCGCCCAATGGGGCTACTACTTATTCATGTCTATGGGGTCTACATGATACTGCCGTAAAGTAACATGCAGTCAGTACTTCTGGTGGCATACTGCAGGTCCAAAACAGACGTGGAACCCCATAACACTATCATAGCTCCGAAAATAAACATGATAGATGATAGTATGCCAAAAAAAACCTTTCAAAAAACATTATTTTAAGGTGAAGTTGTGGAATTTGTCTTTAACATGTTAATAATCTTCTACTCCTATATCTATATATCCTATATCCTAGATCGGGTTTAACCTGATAAAACAACAAACATAACTTTTAAAATTCATCCTGAGATAAGAGATTTTCAAACAGAATTACAATGGCTTCATTTTCATTTCAGCAAGTTCATCTGCAGGTTATTCTTTATTTCTTGGACGAAAAGATCATTGTAACGTCACACAATTTAAGGCAGAAGAGTTTTCAGACATGTTTCCAGTTTCTCAATACCTAAGTACAGTAGTACCTTTTTATCTACTTTACAAGTACATTCTTGGCAAGTACAACAGAAAGTTTGTTCTACCGAATATGGGAGGAAAAGGACGGCATTTGGGACAGAACCGTTATGTCAGGGTAGGGCTGGGCAATAAATTGAAAATTTATCTTTATCAAAATTTCTGACTCTTATCGAAAGTTTTTCCCATGTCCATAAATTTGATAATAAAAAAAGAAAAGATGTGTGTAGGTGTGCAACGTTCATGTCCCTTTAAGAAGCTGTACCACCTTGAGTCATGTAAAAATGTGAGTCAATGTAATACATGAGACAGCCCCATCTAGTGGACAACTTTTGTTTCTACGCACACCTGTAGTTATCGTCCATTTATCGTTATCGAGGTGAAATCCTCAAGATATTGATATTGATTTTAGGCCATATCGCTCAGCCCTACGTCATGGCAACAAGCGCTGGTTAATGCTACGGTTAAAGAAATGTCCGCAAATGAAATAAAAGTCAAGTTTTTTCCTTGAATAACAAAGAATCAATTTTTCGTATAATATTTAGTCCACTTTTTTTCTAAATGGATAAAATACCACATTTCTCACTGTTTAATGAAGAGAAGGTTTATTTTTCATCAGAACAGAGCTATTTAAGGAAATACTGATTTAAAATTTTTTTTGTTAGTGGGTTAGCTTATTAGCAATTTCCTGTTTCAGGAGGAGTTTACAGGTTACACACAATTATTTGAAATAACAGACAACATACTTATTTAGGCTTAATTATTTACATTTTCGATCTAAAAACACTTCAGTTATTAGCTTTGCCCTCTGAAATAGCTCGTTCTGGGTATACGTTTGTGGCGCAATGCATTGTGGGATACCTTGTCTTTGATCTGCTGGTGTGAAAGTGATGAGGAAAGCACAATGCAACTCACAGCAGGCTCTTTGTAGAAGTGATTTTTCTTTTCTTTGTTTTTATAGAATAACCCAACATAGGAAAACGAAGCAGGATGGCTCGGCCCAGCCCAGATGCTTCAGCAGAACAATTGATCAGATGACTTCATTGTTTAACCAACACAAAGAAACCTGAGAATGCAGGTCTGATCAAGACAAACAAAAAGAAAAATCCTGGCATGAAATGTGTACGTACAACTGCAGGAGTCGGGAGTATTCCTCTTTGTTTACAGTTTTGTGGCTCATTCCCACAGAGATCTCATGTGGAGTTTGTTCATCCGTGTTCCTGCAGCGGTCGGACACAAACCAGATGGAAGTTGTTGTTCCTCCCAGCTGTAATTCTGACCCTTGCTTCGTTAGTTCAGTTCCTGTGAAGATTTAGAGACCTGGGCCTGTGGTGTTTTTAGAGCTATGCTCTCTAGGGCTGCCACATGCCGGTCACATGCCTGTCATTTTTTCCCGTGGCAGCTGTGTTTGGGTCACACTCCCTGCTGCACAGTTTAAGTTGTGAAAATGTACCCGGAGCTGTCAGAATGCCATGAGCACAGAGTCGATCAGCTGCTTGGTTTTCACTCCGGTCAGGCTTACATAAGCACGCAGAGATTTTTTACAACTGTTGTGGTGCTGAGAATATTCGCGTTTCCGCAGATTTCTACTTTATTTTTCTGCTGTTTTATCTGCAGAAAAATGTCATAAGGAACTTAAACGTTGAGTCTGGTGGCTGCGCCTAAAATAAAGATGGAAGAAGTTCTGTTGAACCCGGACTGTCCATGAGGAACTTTTAAATATAAACACTCGATGGTCATCTGTGACTCAACACTTTTTAACAGACTGCTAAATGACTGTTGGGCCATCAATCTAATACTTTGTAATGCGTTAGTTTGATCAAGAAAGGTGACATGAAGATAGTCTAGAAAAGGCTTCAAAATTTCTAGTTTTTTTTGTTTTTGTTTCAGTAATCCCCCGTCTCTGTTTTGTCTGTTGAACATTTCAGGAATTAAAAATGAAGAAAAGTTTCCCCAGCAAGAATTGTGCAAAAAAGTTTAATATTTTCTATTTTCTTAAAAGATTTTTTGTAAAACAGTTTCAGTGAAATATCAATAATTAGACAAAATAGTCATTCTCTGGTCTGGAGAAAGGTGATTTATCATGCACACTTAAACTGCTACTACACAAAAACGCATCAGTTTGAACTGATATCAAAGCTACTTATTACAAATCAGTTTACAGACAGACACTGCTGTTGAGCCACCACCACAGCTGTGATAACAGGTTTATTGGTGCCATAAAACTATTTCTGTTCATCCAAACTCTCAAGGCCCTCAGAGAGAGACTAAAAACGTTTCAAATTTGCTTTTAACCATTCTTTTATAAAAATGTATAATAGTATATTTTTATAAGGAATTAACCAGATGCTCACTCTGTTTTTGGAGCCTAATGTTGTTATCGGGTTTCTGTTGCTAACAAGTCAATTAGCTCTTTCCACTATGAGAGTTCTGAGATGTTTCTGGAAGGTGGAAAAGTGACCGAGAGACACGTTGGTTTGGTCCACTCAATCATTTTCTCTATACAAAAAATGCCCTTTCATGACTTTGCTAAGACGTCAGCATATTGCTGCTGCTTTAACAGTGAGTTATGCCACTGATCAACCCCGTAAACCGGCCACGGACATTAGTAAGATAAAAGTTTTGTTATCGATGCACACCATCATTTAATCCATTTGGGGAACCAGTAGAGCGGCTGTGTGATGTAAAATGTGGTGTTCAATGACTGAAAGAAGTGTAGTTTTACTCTGTGAGACAACAAAGCACTGTGAATTACAGCGTTTTGTGGGTGGGGGTGGGGGGGTTCTGCAGCATTATTTTCGGTGTTGAGCGTTTATAAATGGTGATTTTAAAGTGGCACAAAGTTTGCTTATTTTCTTTACCTTATATTCTGTTTTTCCAGCATTTCTTTGTATTTTACAAATGCTGGTTGTTTTGGTGACGTCTGCTGATGTAATTTCCTGCAGAGTGGCAACCAATCAGCATGAGTAATGATAATAATAATAATAATGATACATTTTATTTGTAAGCACCTTCAGGACTCTCAAGGTCACTTTAACAAAGGTTACATGGCACAACAACATCATAAAATTATAGGTAAAGTAGTTTATAACAGTGTAATACATGTTATCCAGGATCACTGGATGGATCAAGAAATAAAATATAGATAAAATATTAGGCAATAGTCAAACGCTGCAAGTAAACCACAAGTCCCACTAATCAACTCTACCGGGTCTTTACACACCCTAGTTCAGACACTCTGTTGGTTCCTGAAATGACCCGCAAAATGGTCCTTAAGGGCCGACCTGTTGAAATGGAGTCACGCTCATACCTCAAGGGTCCAGTAAAATTACCCTGATGTTCTGATAGTGGAAACAGGCCCATTAGCTCCACATCTGGTGGGCCCTCTTTAAGTATACAGTGAACAGAGCAATATTTAAATAAATGTAATCAAATTACAGTAAAATGATCTTCCCCTATAGTCATTATTTAAATGTTGTTGAGTTTAACTTCACTGATCGTTGCAGGGCCATCAGTACAAGTATAAACCAACAAGTAGACCAGCCAGGTGTCCTTTTACTGGATTCAACTAGGACAAGAAAGCCCAGAGAGACCAGCGCTGTGGATTTTTGTGTCTTTAGACGTCTTCCCTACTAGTATAATGATTACCATGTGACTTGTGTTGAGTAGTGACCTTTATCAGGTAGTGAAACTGTGTCCAAAAGGACAAAAACCACACTCCCATGCTGCGCACCAACCAGTTACATTGCTGTGGCTTCTATAGCATTTCAGTCCAGCACTAATAATTCAATTCAATTCAAAAATACTTTATTAATCCCAGAGGGAAACTGATTGCTGTAGTAGCTCAGAATAATAATAATAATCAAGTCATCAAAGAGTTGTTGTATATTACAATGGCTGTTGGCAGGAAGGATCTCCAGTAGCGGTCAGTGTTGCAGCCAAACTGAAGAAGCCTCTGACTGAAGACACTCTTCCGTTGTCGGACAGTCTTGTGAAGAGAATGCTCAGGGTTGTCCATCATTTTCTTGATTCTCTGGAGAATCCTTCTTTGCATCATCTCCTCCAGTGGTTCCACAGTCGTCCCCAGAACAGAACCAGCCTTTTTTATTAGGCTGTTGAGCCTTTTCAGGTCCCTGCTTCTGATGCTGCTACCCCAACAGACGATGGCTGAAGAGATTACAGTCTCAACAACAGACTTGTAGAAGATCTGCAGCATCTTGCTACAGACATTGAAGGACCTAAGCGTCCTCAAGAAGTGCAGTCTGCTGTGTCCCTTCTTGTAAACGGCTTCACTGTTCTTTCTCCAGTCCAGTCTGTTGTCCAGGTGAACTCCAAGGTATTTGTATTCCTCAACCACCTCCACTTCTTCTCCCATGATGGAAACAGTGTTTGACTCCACCCTGTTTCTTCTGAAGTCTAAAATCATCTCCTTTTTGTTCACGTTCAAGGTCAGATGATTGTTTCCACACCATGCCACAAAGCGCTCCACCAGCTCTCTGTACTCCGCTTCCTGTCCATCTCTGATACACCCGACAACTGCAGAGTCATCTGAGTATTTCTGTAGATGACAGGTCTCTGATTTGTACTGGAAGTCTGAGGTGTACAGGGTGAAAAGGAATGGTGAGAGTACAGTCCCCTGTGGTGCTCCAATGTTACTGATCGCCTGGTTTGATGTGCAGTTCTTCAGCCTCACAAACTGTGGTCTGTTTGTCAGGTAGTCTTTAATCCAGGCGATAGTTGAGGCCCCCACCTGTGTCTTCTGGAGTTTCTGGCAAAGTACATCAGGCTGGATTGTGTTAAATGCATTGGAGAAATCAAAGAACATGACCCTCACAGTGCTGCCTGCTTTGTCCAGATGACAGTGGATTGGTTGAAGCAGCTGGATGATGGCATCTTCAACTCCAACTCCATGGCGATAAGCAAACTGCAGCGGGTCCTGATATGTTCTAGTTTGCTGATTCAGGTGGACCAACAGGAGTCTCTCCAGGACCTTCATGATGTGGGATGTCAGGGCAACCGGTCTGTAGTCGTCATTCAGTGCGTTTACATGCAGCCAGTAACCCTTTTAAAACCCAAATATTCACAATAACCCGGTTCCGCAGGTCCTTGTAAACACCGCCAGAAACCCGGATATGCTCATAACCGGGTTTTTAAAAACCCGGTTACTACACCTGGGGTAACCCTTTTCTAACCCGAATGTTTGGTCGTGTAAACGCATACCGGGATATCCCCATCAAAGCGTGTGTTCTGTGCATGCTCTGTTCGCAAGGAATCTTGGTCTTTTGAGTAGCGAGACGTCTTGTATGCGCCAGAACACCGGAAGTAAACAACAAGTTGGGAGCAACATGGCGAGTCGCGGCACAGCACCACACTTTCGGAGTGACGAGGAAACTAAAGCGCAAACAAACACGGTCGCTATCTCTTCCGAACTGGGAAAAATGTTGTTGTTTTCACGGATACCAGAACAAGAAGAACCGGAAATGGCTTGGAGTTCTTCCATGTTGCTGGCCAGTGATCTCACATTGCCCATTATGATCGATGGAAGAGATGGTTTGAATTTCCTCTTTCTCTGTTTCCGTTTTGCTCCCGCTCTGCACCCACGCTTCTTGTGTTTTAGCTCATTTGGGATTTGTGGCTTCAGTTGAGGTATTATTTCAGCCTTTCCAATGTTAATCAGCTGCTCCCGATTGTAAACCAGCTTGCTGCCATGGTTACGCATTATAACAAATGCTCAAAAAGTGAAAAACATTAAAAAAATAGCAGCAAAAATCCTCCAGCTTCACAACAACTGAAAGAGAAAAGTAAAATGTCCAAAAATTACCGTTTTTCTTGAGAAACTAGAAGAAAAAATGACCAAGAAAAGGCAAATCTTACATACAGTATAGTCAACAGAGCTACTCCCAACATGCAGCCACCCAGAGCAACGCAGTTCCGGAATGTATAATGTAATAACTAACTAACACACACACACACACACACACACACACACGCACACACACACACACGCACGCACGCACACACACACACACGAGTCTCCAGTTGGGTATCAGTCACAGGAGAACAGCGTGGAAACACCCCCCAGCACAGTGATGCTAATCTGTTGACCTTTGGAAGGGAGATGC